CTGAGTTCGGGGCTCAACCCCGTTCCCAAGTATACCTTTAACTTGGGCCAATGCTCGATTAGTGTGATTTGCTCTAGTTCCTCGATTGTTGATTTGGTGGCGTCGGAGTCTTCGGGAATCGTGAAAGATCGAGGAACCTTTTGATTATCATCTTCTTCGATCTTCAGGTTATCTGGCTGGATCGAAGCCGATGTCTGTGATTACTATTTGGTGTCCCGTTCTCCTTCTGAGCCTGATCCCTTTATCGGCGAAGGTGAGGACATTGATTTTGCTTCCTCGACGGCGAACATTTCCTTTGCGGCTGGTTATTCTCCTTACACCATTTTGACACTTCTCGATGTCGAAAATTTGAGGGCCTGGTGTAGGGTCGAAGGTATAGCTCTTATGTTGTGGATCCATGGCCTTCCGAAAAGGGCGTTGTATCTCATATCGCCTTCGATCACGTGAAACTTTGTTTTCTGGATGGTTCCATCCACGTTTATTGGTAGGATTATCTCGCCTTTGGTGGTTTCACATGCCATATTGAACCCGTTTAGAAGCAGAGTTACGGGTACGATCTGGTCCTGCAGGCCGAGCTATTCTACGACCTTTAATCTGATGATGTTGGCCGAGCTACTTGGATCGATTAACACATGCTTAATTTTAGTTTTATTCATGAGTACGAATATTACCAGTGCATCGTTATGAGGTTTGGATGACCCCTTCTGCATCTTCATCATCGAAGGACAAAGTCCCCATGGGTGCGTAATCTTGAGTTCGAGATCGCTTTTCCCTCACAATAGATGTTTTAGTGCATTTAAGCACTGGTCCCTGAGGGGTATCGACGCTACCGATGATCATGTGAATGACGTGCTGCGGTTCTTCTTGCTCGTTTTGCTTGCCGAAATCCCTGTTTTTAAAATGGTTCTTCGCCCTATCACTCAGAAATTTCTGAAGGTGCCCTTTGTTAAATAAGCGGGCTATTTCCCTCTTAGTTGCCTGCAATCTTCCGTTCTGTAGCCATGTGTGCCATGATATTCGCACATTTGATTGGGATTCCTTTGGGCAGGATCGGTCTGCATGGGTCGAGGCCATTTAGTGTCTTTGATGCGTCCGATAGCCGACACAATAGCGGATGCACCAATGCTGAAATTATATTCTGATAATCGAGGTGCTTCTATAGGATCGACATATTTATCAAAGCCGCTCTTGCTCATAAGTCCCCGAGAATTTTTCCCTCGATCAATCCTTCGATTGTTCCGAATTGTATTGCATGCTGAACCGTTGTTCACCCGATCTGCGACGTACGATTGATATCAGTCTCTGTTCGACCTTTGTTCTCTGTCGATCTCCTTTTGGTTTTTAGTAGCTGTCCTGTTCTGATGTACGGGTCCATACGGAGCTCCCAACTGATCATCCTCGACCCTGATTTTTGATTGGTATCGGTCGTGTACATCCGCCCAAGTTATTGCTGGATACTCGATCAAATTTTGTTTCAGCCGATGTGATGCTGTCGAACTTAGCTCATTCAACCCTTGGGTGAAAGCTTGTACGGCCCAATCGTCTGTGACCGGTGGCAATTCCATGCGTTCCATTTGAAATCGGGATACGAATTCCCTCAGCATTTCATTACCCCTTTGCTTTACTTTGAAGAGTTCTAATTTCCTTGTTGCAACCTTTATGGCACCAGCATGTGCCTTTACGAACGAATCTACTAACATGGCAAAAGAATCGATGGAATTTGGTGGTAAATTGTGATACCAGATCATCATTCCCTTCGAGAGGGTCTCCCCGAACTTTTTCAACAAGACGGATTCGATCTCATCGTCCTCCAAATCGTTACCTTTGATGGCACATGTGTAAGAGGTGACTTGTTCGTTAGGATCGGTCGTACCATTATATTTTGGACTTTCGGGCATACGGAATATTTTGGGGATTGGTTTTGGTGCCGCACTCGAGGGAAAAGGCTTTTGTATGAATTTTTTCGAATCAAGCCCTTTTATCAATGGTGGAGCCCCCGGGATTTGATCGACCCTGGCATTGTATGTTTCCACTCTCTTGTCGTTGGCTTCGACTCGTTTTGTGAGTTCCTCAAGCAATATAGAAATTCCCGGAGTGGTCCCCGATTCTTGCTCGTTTGATTTCACTATGGCGAGCTCCTTTCCGGGGGTGATTTCTCGAAGTGGATTGGAATCCGGCCTGCTTTGTACGCGAGTTTGTCTCTGTAACTGAGCTATCGCTACTTGTTGGGCTTGTAGCATCTCAAAGATCATACGTAAGCTGGCCCCGATTTCCCCCGCATTATGAGTGTCTCGGGCTACAGATCGAGTACCGCCCTGAATACTTCTTTCCGGTTCGGAACGCTGATTCGCCTCCAAAGCTATTTGTGAATTGACATCCAATGGTACTTCGGCTCGACTTTCGGGTACTTCGATTCGAGCTTCGGTGCCATCGTTAAGTGGCCTTCCGGCCCCGGGTGCCAAGTTGTTGATTTCATTTTGAAGGCCGGCTTCGTGGTCGATAGGTAAAGCCATTGCTGATTTGAAGTTGTAAGCTGGCGTGTACTTTAGATTTATGTCAAACGATCACTATTATCCTTCGCCCCACGATGGACGCCAAACTGTTTACCCGAAAAATCGAATAATGTTAAATTTATATATATGGTTTTAACGATACATAATACTTTTTGATATGAAGATAACGACACGAGTATTTTGATTATGAGAATGACAATGATGAATAGAAAGAATGAATAAGATCTAGTAAAATGAGCACAAGGAGATATCTCTGTATAAGAGAAAAGATCGTTTCGTTCCAATCTGTTCCGTGTGTTTCTTTTTTTTTTTTTTCTATCCTCCTCTAGCTTACAAGGATTGCCCCTTTTATAGTAGATGATCATTACAAAAAATAATAAAATAAAGCATATAGTGGAAGACCCATGATGATTTGTCTCTTCTTCGATTCTTGCCAAAATTCTCTCTCTTGGTGCGGCTGCAACGGCTCTTGTCTGTGAGCTCGATACTGACTCGAACTTGTTACTGGGTCGGGCCCTCCGTTCTTGGCTCGAGTTCGTCCTTCGAGATGGGCGTTGCGCATTTCCGACCTCGAAGCAGTGCCTTGCGGATCGATTCGGTCACGGGCTCGATAAGGTTATCGAGCCAACTCCTCGAGCGACCTTTGGACTCGAGGCTCGTTAATACTGACTTCGGAACTCACTCCCAAAATCTCACTCCGACTTTTTAACACTTGAACTCGATCGAACGTAGGAAGACCGAAATCTTTCGACCGTATACAAACTCCAAAATAATTTTTGATAAAATTCATCATTTACTGGCTGTTTTATAGTTCGATGGTTATTCACATGCATACAATTTTTAAAAGAGAAAGCATTCATCATTGTAACTAATAGCTGTTGTTGTTTGGAAGTCTGATATCACGTCTTTATCTTATCATCAATCATTGCACTAAAATGATTGCTGAATTATGTGTTTAAATTGATGCTGAACCTTTTGGCGTTTTGGGACTCGATTACGACTACCACTTCTGTGATAGTAGCACGGCGACTTGCTAGTATCAGAACCAGATTACCACAATATGGCTCCAATTTTGTGCAACAGAATTTGCAGATTTAACCCAAATCACAAGGTAATGAAAATGAAATAATCCAATAAAGACGTTTAAATATCCTTAACAATTTGCAACCAATTAACTTTATATACCTCAAACATCTAAAAGTACTTTAAAAATATGTGGAGCCCACGACTTTGAACAATAATAAAGGAGAGGTCTATGTCATCTTGACTTTAGTATCCAATTATTTAGTTGTTAGCCTATAGGACCATGTCGCCTTATGGTCCAGTTTCGTGAATGTGTTGCATTATGACGAGAAAACCTTGTGCAAAATTTAAATTGTTCCAGACTATTCATCACCCTCATCTAATGTAGGACACTCTAACACCTACATGTTTAATACTGGATATGGATACATATAAGATATTGTAATGTGAACAACGTAATATGAGATCCCTACCTTCAACCAATGTGAGCTACTCTAACACATACTGCATGTTTAGGACTAGATATTTGTAGTAATATTTGAAATGCTGATAATATAACATGGGACCCAACAAATTAAATAATAGGGGATGGCTCTGTCTTTGGTACTATCTTAAGAAAATGAATCTAGTGCCTAAATTAATTTCAAAAATTAACTAATCATGAGTGAAAATTGACCAAAACCATATAAAGATTTCTTTGAAATTGTAGCTATTTGATCTTTCCCCTCCTTTTATTCTTTCAAATATATTTGATGGATTTCAGTTGTAACTACTTGATATCGTTTCCTTTTCCATTTTGAGCAACATTATTGCTCTTCCACCGGTATAAACACATAATCCAGGAGAATGACCAAGTTTGGACCTTTCTATATTCTCTTAAATTCTTCAACTTTTTCCTCAAAAAGTCTATATTGGTAGTATTAGATAAAATAATAGTCATTATGACCATTCTGTATTGTTGGTTATGAAATGGCAAATGCTTAAATTTATCACAGAAAAGCTGAACGATTATGGTAATAGATTATAACATTTTGCTTTACGTTGCTCATTATTTTCTTGATTATTGTGGTCAAATGTGTCGTTTTATACTATATTTTTTTAAAATTCGCTATTTTTGTCTTAAATGATTAATTTGTTGTTTGGAAAGCAAATTTTTTTGTTAGTGTACAAATTTTAAAAGATAAATTTAAGGATCTCTTAATATAATTTCGCCTTAGGCCACGAGATTCGTTGAGGCGACCCGCAGTTCAAACAACTAAAGTTGAAAAAATGTCAAACAAAATATTTTTCTATTAACTAATCAATAACTCAGATAAAATAAAACAAATAAATAAACAGATAGCCTTTCCCCATTATATTTTGTTGATAGGACATTAGGACGGCATTTACTAAAAAGATTCTTGTTTGACAGAGTTCTTTTTCATTTCTGATTATAATTTACTTTACGTGCTATAGAGATGTTGTCCCTAGTGTCGATTTCCTTCACTAGCCCATCAAATTCATACCTATTTATTTACGCCACCCCAATTAGTACTCGACCTTTTCATCCTTGTTTTTCTTTATTATGGGAATTAGATTCGACTCACATAGGAATTATTAATAAAGCATCCATAAAGTTAACCAATAAAGACAGCCAAAAGTAAAATATATACTCATCATATTTACTTGCACGTGAAATCCAATATCCCCAAAAATTCCAAATGTTATAGGACGGCTGGTAAATGCCATAGGAGAAACCAATGAAGTTTTGTGATATTACTAGACTTTTGCTTGTTGACAATTCTTGAATTTTAAAGTCTTCCCATAAATGTAAGAGTGATCAACTTAGTTGATCATAGTTCTAAGAGAAACCATAGTTGGGTTTCAAAATGGGAACTTTTGTTGCTCCAGCTTCAGTTCTGCTGTTCATTTTCTATATTATTTGTGCTTTTGGAAGCATTGGTGTAAATGGGTACGTAAAGTACAATACTGGGGATGGAATTGTAGAAGGTAAATTGAATGTTCATTTGGTTCCTCATTCACACGATGATGTTGGCTGGTTAAAGACTATTGATCAGTACTATGTTGGCTCAAATAATACCATTCAGGTCATACATCTTTCTTATGTTGAAATTGGAAATTATGTTTATGTATAGCTGCTAATAAAAATGATTGTTGATGCAGGGTGCCTGTGTTGAAAATGTGCTGGACTCTGTTGTTATGTCATTACGACGTGACCTGAATAGGAAGTTTGTCTTTGCTGAAATGGTAAAGCTTTTTTATTTTCGTTTCTTAGTCATAAGTGCATTATATTCTTTTTAAAAATTTCTTTGATAAGATTAGTAAAGTGGAGCCTTGGAGCAACGGTAAAGTTGTTTACTATATTCACGGGTTCAAGCCGTGGAAGCAGCCACTAATGCTTGCTGCTTGCATTAGGCTGCATCACATCCGACCTTGGGGTGCGGTCCTTCCCTGGACCCTACTTGAATGCGGGATGCTTTGTGCACCGGGCTGGTTAGTAAAAGTAAAATCTTACTGCAGGCATTTTTCCATCAGTGGTGGATACGGCAAAGCCCAGAAGTTCAAGAAGAAGTGAGAAACCTTGTAGCTTCTGGTCAGCTGGAATTCATGTATGTAGCTCGCAATATAGTGAACTTTTTAATATTTCTGTTCTTTGGTGGTTTTTGATGAAAAAGAAAAACCTGAAACAGAAATGGTGGTTGGTGTATGCACGATGAAGCAACTTGCCATTACATAGATATGATTGACCAGACAACACTTGGTCATCAACTGATAAAGAATGAATTCAATATCACTCCTCGTGCAGGATGGCAGATCGATCCATTTGGCCACTCTGCTGTTCAAGCTTACCTTCTTGGGGCTGAGGTATTTAAGCTTCTCAGTGTTGCTAGAGAGCGTTCGATTGATGTAGTTTAGATTTAAATTCTACGCATGATGATATATTACACAATTAGATCACTTAAAAGGTACTTAAGTGAAAATCTGTATTATAATCATTAATTGATAACCTATAAAATGGTAACTGAATCGCTATCACATGCTAAACTATACCACTGATAGGACATAAATCTTTATACTGTCAGTATAGATAACTTAAATTCTTACTAAAATTATGTATTTTGAAGTTTATCATCCTGGTCTGACTCTAAATATTGATCCTTCTTTCACTTCTTTCACAGGTAGGATTTGATTCTGTTCATTTTGCGCGTATTGATTATCAAGACAGAGCAAAACGTAAGGAGGATAAATCTCTTGAGGTTATATGGCGTGCTTCTAAAACATTTGGTTCTTCCTCCCAGGTTCATGAAGCATTCTTGAGCTTTGTCCATCTATTTTATATAATTGTTCGTTGTGGTTACACAATGTGTGGGTGCTTTGCAGATATTTACCAATGCATTTCCTGTACATTATAGTCCACCGAATGGTTTCCATTTTGAAGTGGATGATGATTTTGTTCCAGTCCAGGTTCTATCAGAATGCAAGAAGTAATCTGTTTATAGTCTGCTTTTGTATAACGGGAGAGCTAATTTCATATATTTTCCATATGAATTGCAGGATGATCCTTTCATCTTTGATTTCAATGTTGACGTACGCGTTAATGACTTTATCAATGCCGCAATCACTCAAGTACACCCTAATTTTATAACTATTAATCTCATAGATCAGTAACAAGTGGCAAGGAAATAGGTTTTCATGTACATTGATGCAATGGGTGATAATCTGGATTATGTGATATGCAGGCAAATGTGACACGTACTAATCACATCATGTGGACCATGGGAGATGATTTCCAGTACCAATATGCTGAGTCTTGGTTCAAGGAAATGGATAAATTAATTCACTACGTAAACAAGGTTATACTTCATGCTCTTCAGAAAATTTTGATAATGAAATCCTTGACAAAATCTAGACATGTTTCTTCAACTTTAAGAGTGGTTGCTTCAATATTCTAACAAATTTATTCGAAAGAGGCAAGTCTTAATCCAAAACAAGATTCTGAGCCTGCTTTTTTGATCTAGACTCTTTGTCCAGTATATTTATCGGCTAGCTAGAGGGCTTCATGAGGTTAGATTTACTGTAGTTTAAGTGAAGTTATACATATTTTTTTACGAGGCCTGCTTCTTTAAGTTGAATTTCAAGTAAGCAAATTACCTAGAATGTGATAGTCAGGTAATATTAGACTTCTAATTAGTCTTATGGATGTACTACATTCTGCCTCCCCTGGCAACCAGATATCAGTTTACTTATTGTAGATGCTGTTGTTTTTACAGTTCGTATATTTGCAAAATCATAGAGAATCTAGCAAGAAGACTCGCTTCAATTTTTTTTTTTGACAGGATGGTCGAGTTAATGCATTGTACTCTACTCCATCAATTTATGTAGATGCAAAACATGCCACCAATCAATCCTTGCCTCTAAAAACTGATGATTATTTTCCGTGAGCACTTGATTGATATTCTCTGGCTTTTGGTTTATCTTGAATATTTATCGAGTTCATCTGACATCTCTAACTATTTTCAGATATGCAGATGGTGCAAATTCTTATTGGACTGGTTTTTTTGCCAGTCGACCAGCTTTTAAGCGATATGTTCGTATGCTAAGTGGATATTATCTGGTGAGCCAGCTTAATTTATTTCTTCAGGTTCCATAGTTGCATATTATCTGGATTGAGGCACAGTTGTTGTTATTGGATTTCAGTATTTGGTGTTATTCACATCGTACTGGCACTGAAATGATGGTTAGTGGTTACAGACTTGTGCATTCATGCAGTCATGTCAAAAGGAACCTGGATGTAGTATAAGAAATTGTGAAACTGTTACCTCTAAGTTGAAAAACTTGTTCTTGTCCTAATATCCACCATACTCTGTTAGGAACTTATTAGGATATCCTAGGCAAGGTTGTACTTCAATGTGCACGATGATTGGTGACTGTTCTTAATATTGAAAAGAACGGATTCTTTGTGGTCCCTTATTTCACTTCAATTAGGATGAAGTCATAAAAATGACATTAGAACTGTTTTGAAGCAAAACAGGTCGCAGAAACAGATTCAATATGGATTCAACAGGTTGAATTGAACCCAACATTTTTCATGGGAGCATAGATATATACGTGAAAATATCTAAATTTCCATCAAATATTAAATTTTGAACCTATAATTTCAACAGTACAAGCGACGACAACATAAAAGTTGAGCCAAACTTAAATCTTGGATTTGTCTTTGATAGGCTGCTCGTCAACTTGAATTCTTAACTGGGAGGAAATCAAAGGGCTTCAACACTTTTAGCTTAGGAGATGCTCTGGGAGTTACACAGCACCATGATGCTGTGACTGGTACTGCAAAACAGCATACAACTAATGATTATGCAAAACGCTTGGCTATTGGAGCTTCTGAGGTGGGCTCCTCTTATTCTTTGAACTTGATATTTTTGCCTAAACTTTGATTTCAGATTTTTTGTTTTGGTTTATTTTAGATTCTCAGTTCTTTTCATATGCCCCAATTTCAGTCAGAAGCAGTGGTGAATTCTGCTCTGTCATGCCTGGTTAATGCCACATCAAGTCCATGTTCTACCACTTCATCATCATTCAACCAGGTGAATTTTCAGTTACTTGGGTTTCCGTTCTCTATCCCTAAAAGAAAGAAGCTTTAGGGGAAGTTGTAAATCAGGCATGAACTCTTAAGTAACTAGGGGATCCTATCTGACACATCCTTCTTTTCCATTTTCTTTCATTTCTCTAACAGTGTCAACTGCTCAATATAAGTTATTGTCCACCAACTGAAAAAGATATCACTGAGGGGAAGAATTTGGTAATTTTTCCTTCTACCTATTAACCTGATTCAAACATTATGAGTATGTTGGTGAAAATGTTTTTAAACCAATGCTCCCACTTTCAGGTTATTGTGGCATACAATCCTCTTGGATGGAATCGAACTGATATCGTCAAGATCCCGGTGAATGAATAATCCTTTCTATCTTTCTTTCCTTTGCTCCGTTTATGATTACTAGGACCTGAATATAGGTAGTTGTATATGAATATGGCCTCTTTAATACAATAGCTGGTTAGCAACTGAATGCTGTGAATATTCTTGGTTTATATTTCTGACTTCAGTATGATGACCCTATATCCAACCATTCTTTATAAGGTTCCTATACCACATATTTGTATTGAATTTTCCATTCTAATATCCTAAACCATGTCCACTTCAAATAATCAGATTATCCCGAATTTAGCTTTTAAGTTTTATCAGTATGCTTACTGGTAACTTTCAAATCACTTTGGCTGCTGAATAGCCTGTTGAAGAAACTTACTAACATTTCTGATTAGTGAAGGAAGAATTACATACTGAGAAGTTACCTTGTTAGATGGCTGTGTAATTAGATAAAATTCATGTCCATGCTGATTTTGAGTTATCAGAAATTACAGAGGGTCAGTCAGTAAGAATGAATAGGAAATCAAAACAGTGATTGTTAAGTTAGATTCATTGAACTGTATCGGTCCATAATGGCCATGAGAACTTAAGAAGAAATAGACCGCATTATGTGAGGAGTCACTTCAGCACTCAAACACCACAAAATGAAAAAAAGATACAAAGAAAAATCAGCATCTTCTTTCTCTTATGCTTTTTGGAAATATCTATTCGTTGTTGATGGGTATCCAATTGTATTTGCTTTAACAGGTCAATGATGCTAATCTTATTGTACAAGATTCCGCTGGAAATCTGGTTGAGGCACAATTTGTAGAGTTGGATAATATTACCAGCAACTTGAGAAAGTTCTATGTTGAGGCGTATCTAGGAATATCACCCAAACAAGCTGCCAAATATTGGCTCATCTTTCGAGTGTCTGTGCCGTCTCTTGGCTGGAACACTTACTTTGTTTCTAAAGCATCGCAGGAGGGTATTACCAAATGCTCTTCCTCCATGACTTTTTTCATCACTAATGTGCTCTATAGATGACTCAAAGTCAGAAGGCATTGCCTGTTTTCAAAAAGTAAAATGATCACAAAGTCATCCTTCATCTGTTTGCTGAAATCATACAGGGAGCTCCACTGGCTATGTCTCAAAGATGGAGATTCCACTGAAAGAAACTGTTGAAATTGGACCAGGGAACTTAAAGGCGTCCTTTTCCTCAAATTCTGGACAACTTAAACGTCTATATAATTCTAAAACAGGGGTAAGTTCTTACTTCTTAATATGTCAGAATGTCAACACGGCAACATATTGCACGCATTATGTTGGTGTTACGATCTTACTAATTCAAATGACTTTTATCAGGTTGATATACCTGTACAACAAAGCTATCTTTGGTACGGCTCAAGTCAGAAATCAGATCAGGTACTTGCTGATGTCCTTGTAGGTATAATAGAGCGTATTATTAATGGGGATACAATAAGTCTGGATGTTAATTGTATTACCCATTGCAGAATTCTGGTGCCTACATTTTCAGACCTGATGGGTCACCCCCAGTTATAGTTGCAAGATCTGTGAGTAACCTTTTCTTTCTTCAATTCCTTTTATTTAACAACTTCAAAATGATTAGAGAAATTATGCTTCATCATCTCTTGCTAAATCAATCAGTAAGTTTTATTTATTCCTCTATGTACTTGCAGTTGCAGGATGCTAAATTTTTGATAGCATATCTCGCACGTTATCAAGTTTTCTTCATACCAGAGACTAATTTGCTCTTTGCTAGCAGGTTCCAATAAAGGTTATTCGTGGA